ACGGCTCTCCTGGAGCAGATTGTTCAGATACACTTACCCTAGACAAGGTCTCTGTTGTCTTCCGGTACTGATAAAGAAGGGGTAGAGATGTTGGGCATTTTGTTCAAGGCCACAGAGAAATGCAAGTGCCGGAGGAGGAGGCCAGAACCCGAATCCAGTCTGACCTTGCACCTGGCTGACCCGAGTGCTCCCGTCCATTACTACCCTGGGCCTCCGCTGTGAAACCCATTTAAATAAAGAGTCCAGGAAGTATCTAACAGTCTAGTCATTTTTTTTTAAACTGATGACCTATTCACCCCCGAGGGCTCGAATATACATTTGGAAAAAGGACCTTGACATATTGATGGCAACTTGACCTGCCTGCTCAGAATCACGAAGAACATAACTGAGGAGGGCAGAGAAGCCAGAAACAAATGAAAAACAAAACAAACAAATGGACAGAAACTAAACCATAAGCGAGCGGCACAAAAACCCGGGCAGAGGAAAGCAAGAACACACTTGACAAGCCGACAGGGAGAACACTACTGTGAAAATGAGCTGCAGGGATCCAATCTTTACAGGCAGGAGAGGTAGCCTGGGTCAGGGTGTGTACACATGCATGTGTGTATGCATGTGCTTGTGTGTAGTTCCGGGGGGGGGTGTCACTGCTCTGCAGTTTCTTTTGGGCTGATAACGCCATTGCAAGAGACAAAAGAAGAGTCTAGCAAGAGCTGAGCGATGGCGCACAGAACAGAGGACGGGGGAGCTCTGGGCAGTGCAATGGAAGCTTCTTCCATGTATGAACTCCCTAGGAATTAGTGACCTTGACCCCCACAGCTAAGTCTTTCAAGACAAACAAATCCCATCCCCAAACAAAACAAAATGCTAAACACAAAACTCTGTGACTGTCAACTGCCTGGTGGTGGGGGTGTGTCTGGATTAAAGCGAGCTCTGCAGAAAAGAAGATTTTCTGTGTTCCTTAGCGACATACATTGGATTAAAAAAAAAGAATCACAAAACCCGAGAACTGGAAAGAATATTGCAGTATGCTCAATATGCCCCCAAGTCACTAAATTACCATTGTAAACCATCTAGAGATGCGTGTGTGCTAGTACATGCACACTAGTGTGGCGTGACTTGAATTCAGGAAGCTGCCCAGATCCAATAAGGTCAGAATAGAGTGCTAGGGTCCGGCACTAGTATTTGGCGGTAACATTGGCTGAGTGATATTCTACACTGGAGTCCCACGGCAGCTGCAAAGGCAATCTGAAAAGTCCATAACATCCACTCTACAACAGCTCAGGACTTCACATAGCCCTTCCATTCCAAGCCGTTTCCTCTATCGTGCAAAATTTATGTGACTTCACAACACACTTTTATTGTAAACTAAGACACATTAAGGGAGCAAACTCTTCTATCTGTAGCAGACGCAAAAGAAGAAAGTATGCTGATAATCGCTACTCATAACTATGATTTACTACGCGCTTACCATACAGCGAGAAGGTGTTTGGAATGAGCACTTCAAATGCATCCAGTTAGCACGTAATGCTGAGATGATTTTATGTGCTATATGCCTTCCTTATTTTATTTACAATGCCTTTCCCTCCCTCAGGATGATGTAAACCCCACAAGAGCAGGGCTTTTGTGATCACTATTCCTCCGATCTCTAGTTTCCAGGCTACACGTAGTAGGCTCGCAAGCACATCTGGAATGGAATTAATTCATTAACTCACAGGTCTTAACCTGGTCCACTTCTTTCTGGTCACCTGATTCTTTCCCCAGATGCTCGGCGTGGCTGGCGCCTCACTTCCTTTAGTCCTTCTCTCAGCTCCTTCCTCCTGGGGGATAAGGTTGGGGATCCCCCCTGGAGCTGCCCTCTCCAAACCCCACTCTCAGCACACCCTTTCTGGAAGGACCGTTCAGCAGGTATCAAAAACCTTACCACCAGCCATTTAAGGTCTTCACATACTACTTCCTGCTGATGCCAAATCAACGAAGGTCACATTTACAAAAAGAAGTATGGCTTCCCCAAAGTATAGGTACCACGAGATGACCCAAAGTGTTGATCTAGCTTGCAAGCACTCTTCATAACCACAACAGCACTGTGGAATAACATGGCAAAGAGGAACATCCGCAGGACTTGTTACAGTGGATTCTGACCTTGGTAGCAGTTTATGGTGCAATACCCTTCATTAGGGACAAGACTAAAGAAAACGATAAACATGCTTGAGTGTTTATCCTTTTAAAGAGAGCTTCCCTTTGCCCCCAAAGCAGCCTCCTTTCACTAAAGCTCAGAGTGTTTTCTGTCTCTGAAAACACCTGCACTTGCTGACGGCGGTATCATAAACGGATGCTTGCCTGCATCCTGTACTGTCAGTACAGGAAGACAGGATCCAGGGTGCCTCAGCCATACACTGACAGTGGTTCCCCAGCACAGTGCCCGGCAGATGCCTGGCTCCTAACTATTTGTTGGATTTTGCTCAGCTTATGTCTGATCTTCATGTTGAGGCTCCCAATAAATGCTCAAAGAATTGTATAGGGTTTAGGGTTTTTGTTTTGTTCGTGTGTGTGTGTGTGTGTGTGTGTGTGTGTGTGTGTGTGTGTGTGGTGAAGGTTAAAAGTTTAATACTGAGTAACTTCCTCAATATCTCCCCACATTTTTTGAGACAGCATTTCTCATTTAACATGGAATTCGTCAATTCAGTTAGATATCTAGCCAAAATGTCCCAAAGGTCTGCCTGTCACCTCCTCCCCAATGCTGTGATTACAGGTATGTGCTACCTTTCCTGGCTTTTTATGTGGATTCAGGAGAATCGGATTCAGGTCCTCATGACTCAGCACCTTCACTGACATCATTCCAGTGCAAACCATCCAGCGTTATTAAAAGTAAACTTTAGACGGAGTCTGGAATATTAATACATGATCCATTCCTCATAGGTATTTCACCCTACTAAAGATGACATGAAAAAGAAGCAGTGAGCTTATGAAAAGGTACCAAAAATTATAGTTTGAGAGCAGACAAAAGACTAAATTAGTGAACTGAACAGCTCTCTAACCTTACAATGACAAATTATCTTAGACCAAAGGATGTCAAAGTTCCGCCATAGTCACACCCGACTTGGAGACTGTAATCTTTGCTATCGAGTAAGTATTGCTTTCTCCAGGGAATTTTCTTCACAGAGAGATACCTGGCACGCCGTTGACTGGAGAATTTTCACATTCACATTCTTCCCCAAGAGGAAGGTGCTCGCCGTGATGACTCCGCATTCTCTTCACTCCCCCTGGCAGTTTGAAGCTGACCTCACCACATCTTTTCTAAACTCAACGGTGACGAAGTCAAGGTAACAAGAGAGGAAACCGGCACTGGAACTTTAGAAAGCGACACCCAAGTTGTAGCCCCAGCAGAACGAAGGAAGAGAATGAATCGCAACCGAACAAAGGCACCAATACTGATCGAGTGTCTTAGGAAGCCCTTCTCAAGGCTCATCGGTGGTCCTCATTACTGTCCACCAAAGTCAACTCCCTTGGGCACTGGTCCTCAACCTCCCTAATGCTGCCCCCCTTTGATACAGTTCCTCATGTTGCGGTGACTCCCGACCATAAAATTATTTTCGTTGTGACTTTCATAACTGTAATTTTGCTACTGTTATGAATAGTAAACATCTGATATGCAAGATATCTGGTATGAGACCCCTATGAAAGGGTTCTTTCACCCCCAGAGGGGTCATGTCATGACCCACAGGTTGAGAACTGTGGCCCTAGAGCCTAGGTACACAATTCAGGCACCACTTCCTGTCAGCCTTCTCAGTGAAAGCACGGAACTAGATTCTAGCCAGTGCACTGCACACTGAAGGGTTGTGAGCCTCTTCCAGGCTTCCTTGAGTGAGTCTCTGTGCTCATATCCTCTTCAATCTGACAGGGTAGACATGCTCCCCCAAACCCTCAGAAGCCAAATGTTAATGTGGCAGTCTCTTTCAGCCCAAGACCTTGGATCTCCGCAAGGTCAAGGCCACTACATTTTTAAGTCAGTAAGGTCTGGTGTCTATTATTTCCGTCCTTAGACTACCTACCTGATAGATCGATGCTAGTGGCCTTTGTACCTTATTTATACAGACTGAGAAAGCCCACGACTGCCCTGGGTTCTGGTGTCTACCCCATAATGTTGACCAAACTGAGTCGCTATCTGCTCAAAGACATTTTCAAGTGAGCCACTGAGAAGATGTTTCCTCCTCTCTCATTCTTTTGCCCCGACTTCTTGATGACAGAAGTAGTTACGTATGACCTTGACTACGGTCGTGTTTCACCTCTTTAGATTAAACCAATCCTCTCCGGCACTGCCGCCCTTCAGAATCTTGCTAGTTCACGTTAATCTTGGTGTGATCTGGCCTGGCCCAAAAATAGAGCCTCCTGATCCTTTGCTGTAATAAAATTCCCCTTTGCCTCTAATCTGCCCATCCCTGGGGGCCAGGGATAGAAATGGTCACTAACCTAACCTCAATAACCCTATGCTAACACTTTCACACGAAAATACTCCTTTTCTACAAATAGCGTGAGGCTTCCTGGCCGAGCCTCCCAGCAGGTTACAAGAAAAGGGGAAATATTAAAATCAGTTTGGTTGGGAGTTGGAGCTCAGGCTGCAACAGTGGTTTCTCAGGGATGACTTGGGGCATGCCTCACTCCAGCTAAGGGCATCATGGCTGACACAGGAGCTGGGTCATACAAGGCTTTCCATCCTAATTCCACTTCTGGATGACTGAGCCTATGTTCTAGAATATCGGGCTGTCACAAAGAGACCCCAAGCCACAGGATGGAGATGTGTGTGTTGTGGAATATTATTTTAAGATGTGTTACATTTGTTTATGCCGTGGAACATTTGTTGTAATGATGCAAAGACGTGTGGCAGTCTTTTATGCTGCATTTGTTTAACTCTGTGAAGCTGTGTTACTTTGCCTGCCTAAGACACCTGATGGTCTCATAAAGTGCTGAATGGCCAATAGCAAGGCAGGAGAAAGGATAGGCGGGGCTGGCAGGCAGAGAGAATACTTAGGAGGAGAAATCTGGGAGGGGAGGATCAGGAAGAAAAGGAGAGAGGACACCAGGGGCCAACCATCCAACCACACAGCCAGCCACGGAGGAAGAAGTAAACAAAGGTATGTAGAAAGGTATGTAAAAGCCCAGAGACAAAAGGTAGATGAGATAATTTAAGAAAAGCTGGCTAGAAACAAGCCAAGCTAAGGCCAGCTTTCATAAGTAAGAACCTCCCCATGGATGGTTTATTTGGGAGCTGGGTAGTGGGGCCCCCCAAAAGAGTAAAGAGTCAAAATAATTGACAACAGATGGTTCTTCTACCTCAGGTCGCAGCACCCTGGGGTGAGGAGAGCAAACAACTCTCCTGAATGTGCGGCAGAGCTGTATGTGTGCCGACCAGATTCCATGCCTCACCCTTAAGTCAGGAGGCGGTGTCGTTCTGTAACTCTGAGGACACAGTGGCCCCTTTCCCACTCTCTCTGATGCCCAGGTAGACTACAGAGGAGTGGTTCTTTTTTTCTGCTTGAGATGGTCTTGTCTGTAGTCCAGGCTGCTCTTGAACACACGTTCTTTCTGCCTCCGCCTCCCGAATGCTAGGATTACAGCTGTGTGCCAACCACACCCAGCCACACCCATCCTGACTCTTAACCTGGAGCAGCCCACATCCACATCCCGTGGAGAATTCGCTCTAACACGGACTACTGGCTGCCCGCCAGGAGGCTTCTGATGCAGGATGTCTACAACAGAGCTGGACCAGGTCCTTCTACACACGTGCCCAGGCAATGCTGCCGGTTTGGGGAACCACGGGTTGAGGAAAGAGTGTCTGTCTCCGGGAACCCTTTGTGTGTGTGGCCTGTGAGAGGAAAAGTGGAGGTCTGCCTCTCTGTGTGTATTTGTGATCATCTGATTTGATTATTCTTCCTCCTAATCCATTCTACAGGATTTGGGCAGTGCTAAGAGAATACACTGAAGAGATAAAAAGGCAGAGACTGCATATTTAACTTCCACAGTGGAAAATAGTGCTTAACCTTGGTTCTGTTTTTTTGGTTTTTTTTTTCCTGGTATATGTCAAAGGAAATGAGAGGTATATAATACAAAAAGCAGCCAGTGGAAACAGATCAAGTGTATTTGCTGGACTCAGAGAAAGGCTCCCATCAAAGGGGCAGCTCGCTGGCAGGCATGGACAGATGAAGTGCTTGTGAGCAGCGAGGAGCTCTGTGATGGGGGCCGCAGTGGCCACTGGTGAGATGCAGCCACATAAGAAAGGAATGAGCAGTTCCTTGTGGTCTCCGGAGGCCGTTACATAATGTTTCATTATCTTTCCATCAGCAGAGAGGAGAGACACACAGATGTGTAATTGGTTTTGAATTTAGAAATGGAAGTCTTGTTTAATAGCTAGCTCCTATCCTCAAGAAAGTTCAGACTTGCTATAGGAATTCACCTCTGACCTAAGAGAGAAAGCTTTAACTTAAATGGGAAAATTCTGCAAACTAAAAATGAGGGAAAGGAAAATTGCAAGGACATCATCCTGGCCAAACTTCCTACGTGCAGTTAGAATGACGTGTCCAAACAATGCCCCTTTGGTGAGGATGGCCATAGGTGCTGCCAACACAAAATCACAAAATTACTTAAAACACTTTTTTTTTTTTAAAAAAAAACAATTGTGTTGTCCTCAAAAGGTTGATAACATCACACTACAAGGTCACAAGGTTGGATACACCTGGCCCAATGGTCGCTCACTCTTGCAGGGAGCTAATTAGTGAATAAACCCTTGACCTCTCCACCTTTTCCCGGAGAATTTTAAGCATGTAACCTCATATCCTCAGGAGTCTTTGGGGTCACTTTCAAAGTCTGGGAGATACTTGTTTTAAGGAAATCATAAACACAACTGAATGAAAGTCTGACTTTGTGGGAGTGATGCCTAATATAAGGGTCACATAGAGGGTCGAGAGGCAGCTGATGCTGTTTTCAGCAGACTGTCTTCAAAATAAAAACACAATGTTTAAAATGGTCTCAAAACTCTGTGTCCTTTAGAAAGTTGACTGTGCTCACTTTGAACAACATCTTTTTTACACTATAAAGGAACAGGATGGGTCACACAGTGGTATTTCTTGATGACTGCTGGGGTGCTTTCAGTGAGAATGGCCCCCATAGGCTCATGTATTTGAATACTTGGTCCCCAGTTGGTGGGACTGTTTGAGAAGGATGAGGAGGTGTGGCTGTGTTGAAGGAGGTATACGTCACTGGGTCAGGCTTTGAGTCTTCAAAAGACTTGCACCAATCTGAATTTGCTGTCTCTGCCTCCTAGGTATAGATCAATATGTGAGCTCTCAGTTTCCGCTCCAGCATCATGCCTGCCTGATGCCATACTCCCTGTCATGATGGCCACGGATGGACTCTAACTCTGCAAAACCTCCCAAATAAACTCTTTT